AGGTGAAGCTGTGGCCAAAAGTGGAAGACTACATATTTCGTACCTCCAGTATACAAATATGAATGTGAATGTCCTCCAACGATAAGACTGATTTTTTCTGATGCATTTTGTGCAATAATCTGATCCACTTCGTATGCAGCATGAGACAACACAATATTAGTGAAAACTCCTTCTTCTCGGACTAAACGTTCTGCTTCTTCATTGACACTGGGCGACACAGGAAGAAATTTCAGCTTTTCTGTATGCGAAATTTCCTGCAAAATTTGATATGTAGTGATAAATTTTATTTCCTCACTAATAACTCTACAAAATGCATTACACTGAACGGAAAGAAGTATTTCAAAGATACATTTCAATAATTAAAACCCTTCAATTTTCAAGACACTTCTTATTGAAATAATACATTCGTTTATTAGCCACTCATTATTCGTTATGAATAATGAATATTTGGGGCTTTGTTCACGAGATGGAGCTCTTAATTGGTAACAAATCTTTCTTCTAAAAGAAGGTTTCATACATACAGTCGAGGGGTGAATTTTTCCTGCACTAATGAAAGGTATTACCTAAGCGAGGCTTTCCAGGGTGATCAGTTGTAAAGTTGAGATTCGACATTCACCGCCGAAGAGATTTGTCTTCAAAAAATGTGTACATATTCTTAGATACAAAACGGAAAATAATTCTCTGGATATGTTCACTTTTAGATATACAAATACCGATTCACACCGAAATTTTTATAAAATTCTTAGTTATTTGAAATGTGTACTTACTGCACAGAAATAAGTGATTACGCCAATAACTCCAATTTTCTTTCCATCTCTTTCAATAATTGTGCTCTTCGTGTAAGTTCTCTGAATATCTGGCTCCAAGCTGTCATCTATATTCGAAGCAACTACTGGGTGATTCAGTGATTTTATGTAAGGAACGACTCCTGCAATGCCGTCATCAAAATCGTGGTTACCCAAAACCTTTAAAGACGTATGAAATTATTAGTTATTTATATAACAAGTTTGAATTTCCAGAAGATTTTTTTGTAATCAACGGATATCATTTCGCTCAAAATAGAACAATATAATTGAATATTTGAATTTTTGTTTTCGGATGAACTCATGAGAGGAATAATAATGATTATAATAACAACAATAATGATACGATTCAATGTAATTCAATTATCAACACATATGCCCATTACTTACTTTATTTACTCACTTATTCCTCATCACGGATAGTGGTGTGTTAGAAAGAGAGAGAGTGAAATCATTAACACGGCGCTCCTCTCTTGCGATTTCATTTTTGTTACAGTGGATTTACTAGCAATATTACGCAGTATACGGCATTACGACTTCATCGTAGGAGCATCATTGTTAATAATTTTGTGATGGATATGGATTGATTTTGTGGAAAAGACAAAGTTTCTCACTATTTTTCGGTTATGAAACCTTCTACAGTCTGAATAATGAACAAAGCTGAATCAACCATTCAACTGTCGTGTTAAATTGAAAAAAATAATTTCTATACTCAGCTTTCTTTAGATGGTCGACGTTTCAAAACACAATTTTTTTTTCGTATTCAGAACCAGAAATTCACCTGAAACTTTTTCTCATTGTGAATAGCTATATTAAAATTGTGTTGTAAATAACTATATAGTTAATTGTGTTGTAAATAGCTATATGAAACTAACTCTCAATTGAATTCTCAAAAAACATTCCATATATTTTTGGGAAAGAAAGTTTTTGGCTTTCTACTACTCCATCTTGATACAAAAAGAAGGATGAGGAAATCTTCCAAAGAAAGAAAGGAAGTAATTCTTGTAGATCATGCAAAGAAGTAACTTTCAGACACAAACTGAAAGAAAGTATATTGATTTATAAATATATATGTAATGAAAGTTATTCAAAACCCAATCGGAAATATATCCCATAAAACAGCTTATTCTCCAAAGGTACCAAGTACCTGAAATTTATTCACATCACATATTTTTACTATAGTTACCTACCTAATGTCGGATGAGACAATTCCACTTTCTGCTTCGATATCTTTCGGTTATGTAACTTCCACAGTCTGAAAAATGAACAAAGCTCAACCAACCATTCACCTGTCGTGTTTAATAAAAAAACATTTCTATACTCATCTTCCTTTAGATGGTTGACGTTTCAAAACACAATTTGTTTTCGTATTCAGAACCCAAAATTCACTTGAAACTTTTTCTCATTGTGAATAGCTGTATTAAAATTGTGTTGTAAATAGCTATATGAAGCTAACTCTTAACTGAATTCTCAAAAAACATTCCATATATGTATTAATATAGCTTATCGCATATGACATTACCCTTCAGCATTGATTAAGCTTTGTTCATTTTTCAGATTGTGAAAAGGTATATACTCAAAAAAACAGTAAGAACCATTTTAATGGATATTGCTAACTTTGTATTGGACAATTCCACATGTCATAACAAATGGTGAGTTTTAAATTCAGCAGAAAATGTCTGATGGTAAATTGAAGGGTGTAGCCGTTACTACGTGGTAGGAAATCATAATGAAAAATGACAATTGAAACTATCTATAGTTTCTACCACTTTTATTTGTAAATAACTTTACTGCAGTTTTGTCCTATAGGGATATTTTCAAACTTATACAAAAAGTTTAATGTATTAGTTTGAAAATGTCCTTACAAGACGAAACTGCGATAACGTTAGGTGAAACATAGAAAGTTTCAATTCTCACTTTGCATAATGTCTGATGGACCAATAGTTAAATCCATCGGATAAATCGTTGGACTCATCGGTAAATTTTTAAAGTCAGCTATGCACATATTCATAACTATATAACCCAACAAATCGAACTTCGTCAATTTGTTCATGTTTTTATGTCTCTTGTATTTGTAACTAACATTACTCAAATGTGCCAAGTCACTTGAACATCTCCCGTGAAAGTATCTATAGAAGAAAGAAAAATCTCCAATCTTTCTTCGATGGTCCAGACTATCAAGGTTGCACGCGATGTTCGCGTCTTCAATCAGGCGGATGCCCCTTTTTTTGGATGAAATCCAGCAATTTTAGGGTATGTTTGGGGGCAGAGCTCCAAACATGAGAACAGTACTTCAAAGAAGGTCTGATCTGAGTGTTATAAAGCATCAAAACATGATGAGGTGTGGATAGTTTTCTGGTTCGGAACAGTGTTCCAAGCTTTTGAGAAGGAGCCTTTACAATTCCAGCGACATGATTGTGCCAAGACATATTGGTGTGCATTTTGAGCCCCAAGAAACTTATAAAAGTAGAAAGCGAGATTGTCTGACCTGACATTATTATATCCGGTTCGGAGACATTTATTTTCTTGAAGAAAACTGATGCCTGTGTTTCATGCTGTATTCACTTATTACAATTAATCGAAAGTAGCTACCAATCGATTTAAAAAATGTCGTTATGTGATATTAAAATCATTGTATAATGTCTCATTAAGGGATTTCTGAAATCAATCGAGCAAGCACTGATGACGACCTTGAACAAAAAATTGAGGTATGTGCGAGGATTGTTTGTTTCATTGTTTCTCTACGCCAGAGGTTTCAGTTCTACATATTGTATTTATCATGATTCTAACAAGCCCTCTTTAAGACCAAGGCAACGTATTTCAATTGCGAGATTTTTCACAAAACGGAGTTTCACATTTTGGTTCAATGGCTCGATGAAGCAGGTATTGTATAGTATTACAAGTGTTGTGGTTTCGTGAACCATTGAGAAAATTTAGAAACAAGTACGAACTCAAAAATATATTTTGATTTCTAGATTTGGTAAAGCTGAATTTTCCAGATTTCTTACCTCGGCATCGATGTTGAGTTTATTCATGAAATGTTGGGTAAGGTTCCATCTGCCAATTGAATACCACAGGGTCCCTTGGAAAGTATCTCCCGCATTCAGTAAAATCGACTTCGGGTTTTCTTCGCGCATTTTTTTTATTTGAGTGTATAGTCTTGAGAATCCACCAACACATTCACTCTCCTTTTTGCAAGAGCCGCCATTTTCATTTATCTGGTCGAATCTGCGAAAACATTCCGAAATAAATTCAATCTCCTTTTTTTCTGAAAGTATATTATTCGTCTCTTTCAAAGTGTCCGCGTTCGCGCGTACAGCGTACAGGTCATAACATGTCAGTCAAGCGAGTCCCTTCAACTTAATACCAGTGTTTTGTTTTGTCGCTGCCGAATAACTACCTAAGGTATGTAAAAAACACGCATAAAAATTGCACACAGTATTGTTGTTATACCTTCTAGACATTGTTTAGATGTTCTTTTGTGAGTTCTAGCGGTATTTGATTGTATTAACTCATCAAATATAAAAATATAAATCTCAGTTTTAAGTCGTTGGAAAATCCAAATATGGACAAATTATAGTATTCAATTATGGAATATTCCATAATTGGTTCTTTTAGGTATTAGCTGATTAGATGATTGTGGTAATTATGAATTACCACATGAATTAGAAAGTATTTTTCATCAGAATGGCTGGCATCCACGTTACACCAATGACAAGTTCCCAACCTTTGGAGAGTCGATGGACAATCTTAGAACACCTGATGATGGTAAGCCTTTAATTGAAGTTTCTACATTCAGACAAGATACAAATATTGAACCTGTGCCCTCAACTTTCGGAATTTCTCGCTGTGGTTTAGGACTTGTTTCTCCATATGATATCAATCCAGAACCAAAAAGAAAAGTAAACTTTCACTAGTTCGGACTTTCATTTCATCGAATAGCTGAAAATAACAATTATATTAAGCAAAAAAAACCTGAAATGAAATAATACTGAAATAAAATACAAGTAAAAATAGAACGATTGAACAAAAAATAAAACAAAATTTCCTTGCAGCTCTATACACTTTTTCCAGCGGCAGTTTTTACTTGATTTCTCCGCACAAACCTTTGAGTCCACTGTTTTGATTGTCACTAGAAGAAATNATTAACTGAACAAACATGCTGAAAACATATTTAATGAAAATATAACGTAGAGAGAGGTTGAGATGAATTGTTATTGTTTATTTGACTGCTTTCTGCACGAGTTCCAATAATGAATTTTCAATGAATTGGCAATATGAAAATGAATCTCAATATTTCACCGAATGAAGACAATTGAGTGATTTGAAACTCTGGTCATCGAAGAAGCCCACAAGAAACCTCGTCTCTGGTTGAGATCCGTAGATGACACCTTCATGATATGGAACCATGGGAATACTGAACTACACACCTTCCTGAAACACATCAACAGCTTAAGACCTTCCATCACATCCACAATGGAGAAGGAAGTCACAAACGAATTGCCATTCTTAGACATTTTGGTGAAGAGGACTGACACTCAGAGGTAAACATCTGTATACCAAAAACCCATTCACACGGGACAGTATTTGAATCACGAATCCAACCACCATCAATCGACTGAAAGAAGAATCATCAAGACTTTATTAGACCATGTTTTCGGGCTCTGTAAAACGAAGAAAGGTCTCGAGAAGGAACTAGACATCATCAAAAATGATCTGATTTTCAAGAGAATGACTACTCCAGAGCGATGGTTGGACATACTTTGGCTAGAAGACAGCAGGAACCTCACAAGGGAGAGAAGCCGTCACAACCAGTGCTTTTACTTCCCTACATCGGAGGATTAGAAGAATTGGATCCAAATACAACATCAGAACCTGCTTCAGATCTGGAAACACTAGCCGTAGCAGCCTCACGAAAACCAGGCCACCAAACGCGGACTGCGATTCCAAGAATTGCATTTACCGGGTACCCTATGAGTGCGGAAAATCCTATATCGGTGAATTTAAGAGGCCAATAAATGTTCTCATTGCCGAAGACAAGAAACACACACAGCGAGGGGAAACCAGCAAATAAGGAATATCAGAGCTTGTTTGGATCCATCAACATAACATCGAGTGGTCCCAAGCTGAGATTATACACAGGGAGGAACATTGGTTCAGGAGGAAATCTAAAGAAGCTGCATACATGTTGTCTAACAATGTATTCAGCCAAGCTAGCGTAGAGTTACGCAACATATGGAAACCCATAATAAAGGGGAAAATGGCCAATGCCCGCCAAACGATTATCTCCCACTGAACCGGTGAAGCGGAAAAAGTAAAGCGAAGATAAGTGAAAGTGCTCGACTGACCTATGAATAGTAATCTTTTTTCTTCTTTTTTCACTTCTTTCAGGGATTTCAAATCATTTTATATAATATCAGACAATGGAAGCCTGTACTAATAAAATTCAACATGAAACATTGTCAATCACCTTCAAACAAACGGCGTTAGTCTTATCGCATTCACCACTTTTTCAGTTAGTACTAACCTTCAAAAGAAAGCTGCTGAAATCTCATGTTATTCAGCTCATGAGTTTGTTAGTTATTGTGCTGAGAGTGAGACTACTTTTATTATTTTCGAAATAATACATAAAAAATGATTTTGTGTATTGATTTTGCAATGTTCATAGATACGAAGCAATGGCTTGAAAAGTGTTATAAGGATATCATTAAAAACTGGGTACCTGTCCTTCTAGCTACACGAACACGAAAAGGTGATTCGATATAAATAGAGCGCCCAGTATGAAAATAGTAGTTGATGCGTTGGATACAACACGAACAAGAACCAGAGCACCAGCTCGGGTATTGCGACCGTTACCACATCGCCTTTGAAAAGGTCTACCGCAGCAGTAGACGAAACGTCGCCATTAAATCCTGCAGACGACGGCCAGAAAACCCGGAAAATAGCCTTCATACATGCTGATTAGTTTAGGACCAAAGACAGTCTCTTTCCGTGCACAACATTCAGTTACTATTGGCTCGCTTACGAAGTTGCGGGATTTTGCCCATTGAAAATGATTTTTTTGATTTTGATAGTGACACGCTGAAACCAAATCTTCTCGCATAAGCTAGATCGGTGAAAATGTAAATTGTAATGTTATATAAGCGACTCGTTGAGTCGACAATGGCATGGTCTGCAAAAATCCGCTCTTTAACTCTGAATTATTCATTCGATATACTTTGTTTTCCAGAAATGAAGTCAACTTGAGTTTTATTATAACAATTATAGTCGGTATGAGTTTATTTGCTCTGTAATTTTTTTAAAGTTTTTAAGCGTAAATATATGATTATTATCAATGACTACAAAATGTTTTTCATTTGTAACGTTTAGTCAAATTATGTGTAATAAACAAAATGGTATTCCATATTTGGTCACTCTCCTCTACTGTGTTAGCGAAACATGTCGTGATATATTTTCAAATGAAATTTGTGGAGATTAAATGGTGAGGTGTAGTTTATGAAATTACAATGGATCTTCATCATATAACGGACGAATCAATCAGAAAAGTAATATTATGTGTATCTGGAAAATGAGGTTGGGAGAAGCAAGCTCATTTTGATATATGTATGTATAGTAATGTTGAAAAGAAACATTTACTAAAAAGATTCACACAACTAATAGAAGACGTATCCGACTAAATCACTCTTTCATATGTCAGTTTTGTCACATTGTGCCTAACAGCACAAGTGACAGCAATTTTGAAATTAACCCTTTGTGTCAACTCTCAAGTATAATTCTTATACTAACTTGTCCACAGATTTGTTACGTTTCCCCCAAGCAAATGAGTATGCGATTTTAAGAAAAATGTTACCAGAAATATAGATGAAAGCAACGAATATCTTTTGAATCTAAGTCGATGATTTGTTAAGACAGTATTGCTATTCTTGGAGTTTACAAGCAGCTATTCGTTCTCTAAAGATATTCTTTAGTTGCTGATGAAGTCCAGAAATTCGCCAAAGAGAAATGGTTTGATTTCGAAATCGATCATTTGTACACTAAATGTAGTATCTCAGCTATAGTCTATATAAAAAACTAACATATAGATTAGATGATTGAATCAAAATACATCAGGAAAACGTGTACGCTGAATAAGAAACTCAAAACCCAAAATGGCAACAAATTGCACTTACATGGAACACTGTCATCCTCACTGGTATACATCAATGTTTCGCCGTAAGACACTTGCCCTAAGGCAATTCAAATTGTTTGGTTGATCGTCACCGAGGGGTGGGGGAAGAGGTACGACAGTTGAGCTTATGATACGAAGATGTCCCCCTTGGATTACAAATCGACGTGTTTTTGCATTTTTTTCAGATCACATGTGTTTTGAAGATATTCGATCTGTTTCGTTTTCGGTGCCCTACCCTGTATATTTTCTGGAAAAATCAACAATGCAACATATTCACTGTAGAATATTTTAATATCTGATTTACTATACGTTTGGAAATATTAAAGGCATTCAATAATGAAGATCAGCTCATCATCTTCAATATGTTTCAAATGGGCCCTTTTTTCCTATTCGTATCCCAATATGTTTTCCCCTCATTATCAACATATTCATCTAGATATTTCATTGAAATCTGGTTTTCTTGATTCATTTATTTTTATTTTTAGTTTCATGTATCAAGTATAAATGTTCACGATTTCATTATGAAAATTTCAACTTTTGACCTCTGGGATTGTTTTTTTCCTGCCTTTCCATTTCACTTAGATAACTTTTCATTTTAATCATAACGATATCGAATTAAGTAAATGTAAATATACCCTTTTCTATCATATTTATTTGAGTCGTAAAATCTTAATTGCCGCCACGGCACCTTTTTCAAATACCAAGTTGTAAAACTGATAACATTTAACATGAAACACTGTTCAACGCACATAAAGATATAAAACAGACCGTTAATCACCTAAAAATTTTGATATACCTAACTCACCTTGCATGAAAGTCGTTAAAATGTATGACCGACAACTCAAAAGATCCATTCGTCCTCCCAGCAGGTGAAGCTGTGGCCAATAAATCGGTCAACCAAAAAAAAACACACAATAACACCAACATCTTGGCGAAAGTGGAGTAAAATTCAAATCTCACCAATTATATTATCTATAACTCTACAAATTATTATTGAAAAAGAGAAGATAACATTCGCATAGGCGTAACGTCGATGATGTTAGAGGGTTCTACTATTGGGTTTATTTAGTGACGACCGGAGAATAAATAAGAATGGAATAGGAGTAGGACCGAAGTGACTGATTCTATTTGACCGTTCACTGCGACACGCAAAGGTGTATTGTGGCACATACCTATTCAAACTCGATCAAATAGTTGCAGCTGCTTCACAAAGTCGATTGGGTTGAGCTGGTCGGACCCTATCACTGAAGCTTCGATATATTCGTGAGGGCGCACCAGCATCATCAAATGGGTAAGTGAACATTGTGCCCAAGAATCATGTGTTCCAAGTAGACAAAATGATTGAAGAATTAAAGACTTCTGCATTCGAGAGTAGACAAATTATTATCTTATCAAGGACTCCAATAATCAAAACAATCATCTTGACAGAGTGGTCTAGATAACCGAAACCGAAAACTCCACGATGAATATCGTCTTGCTGATGGTCAAGAAGAACTACAGACTTATTAGTCTGTATGAGTCTGAGGGTAAGGAATAGATTAAGAAAAAAGAATTTAAACTTTCTATGTTTTTCACTACATTTATTTGTAACAAACGTTACTGCAGTTTCGTTCTAAAAGGACATTTTCAAACTTATACATTAAACTAACAATGGTTGATTACATTAGCCCTCATATAGCACCCCTGTAGATAATAATAGAGGTGCTTGGCTTGATTGAGTATCTGAGTATACAATTTACAATGCGGATACGCTAATTTGAAAACCGGTGAGTAAACTAAATCGATTTGACCATTCAACAGGTTGCACTCGCAATGTTTATGCTTGTGAATTTTCAAGGATTCTAAATAATTGAGTTTGTAACTCTTCCTTACACAGAGCAAAATTTCTGTATCATATAGATTCGGGAACTTGTGGTTGCATGCCAAGGAATGGTTTGAAACCCCCTGTAATACCTATCTCCTCAACTTTCCCAAATACGATACCCCTTCAAATTTCATAAAGAAATCCTTCGCCGGACTGGTCTCCAAATGCCAGAACTTCAAGCATATATATACCGATTCTTCCAAAACAGTTGAAGGAGTAGGAGCCGCTGTGATAACAGATACCACCACTTACACTTTTCGACTGCCGTCTTTCTCCAGTATCTACTCAGGAGAAGTATTTGCTATATTCAGCACACTACAATACTGTCGTAGATCCGTTGGTGATCATGTCATTTTCACTGATTCTCTCAGTGCTGTCTTGGGCATCCAACAACTCTACCCGAAAAATGCTCTTCTTCTTCTCATTAAGACTGAACTGGGAAAGTTATTACAGGATGGTAAACACATTGAGATAGTTTGGGATCCTTCTCATATGGGAATAACAAACTTTACTTCCCTTTATAGTTTTTTGGAAAATGTTGGCATCTCTAACAAAATTTAATGTACCTACTGTAACCGCTAATAACCCTAGTGGTTGATTCGGTGTTTTTCCTTTTAAATAAAAAAAATGGTTTGAAAACGACGACTCATTTTTTCCTAGTCAGAAGGACCTTCAATGTTCAGCATACCGTTTTTGGAAATTTCGACCACATTGTCCCACATAAACACTATTATACTCCGGACACTTGAGCTTATACACTCCAGATTTATCCAACTTGACCACCTTATCTTTGGCATTGAAAAGAAAATCAGATAACCTAGCAAGTGGTCTGAATGCCACTTCCACATTGTTTTTTCTGAAGAAACCCGCAATTATCTCTGTTTTTTTTTTCCAAATATTCATTTCTTGATTTCTGATTGTTTGACCTGCGGGTATATCAATTTGATTTCCTACCACGTACTAACGGCTACATTTATAAATTTATTTTGTGGATATTACTGGAGTTTTTTCCCAACACCAAATCGTTATTTTCAACACCTCGACACGTGTTTCGATCACCAAGTGATCATCTTCAAAGAGGAAGATTAAACTATTTTGTGGAATAAATAGTTGCGATAAATTCGGTACCTTTCCTAGGCAACATTGGTGTTTCGTCAATACCGTAAGAGGGCCGTATATTGTATATCGCTACACGATAGTCTAATGTGTTTGAAACACCATCCTGGCAGGCTATGATGGATGCCAGATTTTTCGCTCGGTTTCCCACTCGGTAAAAGAATACAAATTGTATAGTTAAGTGAAATTATTTGGGACATAATTAGCTATCATTTATTTTTAATTGTTCACTAGGGTATTTGTATCTGTAATGAAATAAAATAATTATTTCATGTATATATGTACCTATATTTCATTATCTATTTAAATGTTACTCAATATATGATACTGAAATCTTTATATGTAATGTTCACTGTCTGGCTACATGCTAGTTTAAATCTCAAATTGTAACTTTTTTATATACATTTTTTTTATATTTCATTGTGCTAGTGTTATTATTACACTCATAGATATGTATATTAGGTTTCCTATTTCAATAAAGTTTATTATTATTATTATTATTCAGCATAGCAAAGGTCAGGTGTTTCGATTGTTATTATCATTGTCATCATTAATTTAAATCGTATGGGCTAAATAGTTTTACAATTACCATATTATATGAAGTGGCTATACCCAAAAGATAAATATATGGCATCGCAGAATTTTCTGTAGACCTTTGAAAAAAAATATGTATTGAATTGTTTTATTCGTTCGATAGTTTTTTATTTTTTCGCGGTCAGGCAGACAGACAGATAGACGCTGTGTAAGAATTTGTTGTGATGTTGCATAAGTAGTGATGAACTAAAAATATGATCAGCTAGTATTCTGAATTTCGTAATTCCTAAAATAAATTATTCGTAGATATGTTTGAACTACTATCCTCTACACTCTACACGATTATTTTACGGACCCTTTTCAGGGTCCTGATAGCATAATCCATCTTCTACCCTGGCGTGACAATCAGCGTCGTCCTAAAACCCGTGTTGATTTATTTTTAATGCTGGTAGCCTTATGAATAAGCTAGGATTGTTCCGAAATGCCACATATTTTCTGATGTAGACGTATGAGGGATTGTTTTTTTCTGTCTCCTTGAGTGAACATATGGGACGTGAGTTCACGAAAATCGGTATCAAAAATTATTTTTGTTTCTCTGAAATATCAAAGTATCATACTGAGTTTCGACACCATCCATTCAGCATGTTACTGAAAGTTCGAACGAATTGAAGAATTCTTGGATCTCTGGTTCCACTTTGTATAACTGAAAACTCACTGGAAAAAGTGCAAACTCGAATTAAATAATAACTAATGAAAGTTGCTTTGAAAGTTTTTGTTAGTTTCATTCTAGATCAGTAAGATATTCCGTATTTTTGTCTCCCAATAAAATGACGTTCAACCATTCCTTCTTTTCATCATTTTTATGGTATAACTTCTTTGAGAATGAAGTATATTAGAAATGTTAATTGTTTCAAATGGCAATGTGAATAACTGAAATTATTGCCATAAAACTCGTGTAGAATTGCTTCAAAAAGTTATTATTTGGTCTATTTTTTTAGCAATCACTGCGTTACTTCAAGGAAATTGATGTCACTATCCATGATAAATAATGAAAGAATTTTCACACTCATAACTTAAACGCGTTCCGCGACAACTATCATGGTTGGCATGTTAGTTGTGTATTTCTGTGAGAAAATTCGACAGAGGCTATCTATAAATCAACATGATTGAAGAAACTGTAGATACTCAATAACTAACAAGACTGAAACTTGAATTGGCGGAGAAAGTATTTAAGTTTCAAAAAAACTCTTAAATTTCCAGCAGAACAATGCATCACCCAATTATATTGTTACAGTTTGAAGATGGATCAGCAGAAGAGGAGCAATTGAATGGCCTCCAAAATCACCGGGTTCAACTTTTCTAGACGCCTTTCTTTGGTAGCAGCTTGAACTTGTTGTTAATAAAACGCAACCTGATTTTATAATCTTGAAAAAAGAATTACTGCCGTATATTGGTCAGTTTCCGGTTGACAACTGTCCCCCGTTGGATACGCCCTTGGGTGTGAGCCAACCGATATACCAACATCCTCAATAACTTCTCTAATAGTGATTCGACGAGTCTTCTTGAAATTCTCCTAACTCTCTCAATCTCTCAACATTTTCATCGATTGCTGATGTGTTGGGGCGTCCAGGACAAGCGTCGTAATTGACATCTTCTCGACCTTCTGTGAAAAGCTTGAACCACTTATAAACGTTTTTCTGACTCAGAGTACAATCACCGTATGCCACTGTCAACATTTCAAGTGTTTTTGAGCACATAATTCCATTTCTTAGACATAATTCAATGCAAATTCTTTGATTTTTTCGATAGCTGAAAATCGCCTAACACACAAAACACTTTTAACTTTTATGCCTCTCACCAACAAACTAAACATGCAAAACATCTGAAATTGTGAGTATACCAACATAAAATGGACGTAGACCGGTAAATTTGAACAGCCATCTTACTTTTTTAACAGTCTACTGAATATGATCCCCCCATTTTATATATTATATTGTGGAAAAGAGATATTAGGGGTGATAAAATAAAGTTGCGCTTGGAAATAAGGACATGTTTCGGCAAGCAGTACAGTACAGGGCAAAAACTTACATTACAGAAATTCATTAGAAGTGCTGTATTCTTAATCAAGCACCAGAATGTTAATTGGCGGCAGAATGATATTACAAATTGCAGAGGCTTGTGATCAACAAAACTTCATACATTATAATTTAGGATGAAGTGTGATTGATTATCTGATGTGGGATTCTGATATCGATAGCGACCGCAGTTATGGAAATGAAAATAATCGTTGCCAGGTACTTTGCTCATTGACAAAGAGTAATTGATTTTCATGTGTTTTCATGCGGATGTTTGTTATTTCAGTATCTCATTACAATATCATTTGAAGTGTGATGTTGAATTCTGAATTCCAATTACTATTCCGGTCGATTTAAAATTGCAAAATG